CTCGCAGCCCAGCGCCTGCGTCTCACGACAGGAGGACGCTCTGGCGATGCTGGTGCTGACGTACAGACAGTCTATGTGCGGGCTGCGTGCACAGGCGGCGCCCCCTGCAGGCGCTCTCCTCGCAGGCCCGGCACCCGGAGACCACCGAGGCAGCGAGAAGGCAGGGCGGGCAGGGGCGGAGGGAGGGGAGGCGGTTCTGGGCAGCTCGCTGGCGTGGCGGGCCCCGCCTCCGCCTCGGAACCTCGTCGATCGAGGGGGGGGGGATGGGATGGGAAGGACCGAGGAGTTCGCCCCTCCCGAGGGAGAAAGGCCAACTCCCGTGGGTCCACCAACCCATGTGCACAGAGTGGCTGGGTTGGTTCAGATGCCTGTCGGGCGCGTAGTCTCGCTTCAAGCGGCGGGTTTCCTTGTCGGGCGTCCTAACCATGCCAATGCGCCATCAGTGGAGCGCGGCGCAGGACACGCTGGCTCACGATGCACTTTGCGCAAGCCCATCGGTTGCGCAGGCAGTCCAGGATGGGACGCCCTAAGTTATGCAGCGCTGGCATGTGTCGCACGAGGGCACCCTCCTCGAATGCTCGAGCCTCGGTTTGAAAAGAAGAGACCGACGCATCGAAGAAGGATCCCGACATGACGCGCAGGAGACGGCTCCACGCTTCGTCGATGAAGCGCCTTGCGACGATGATGACGACGATGCTGATTGTTATCTTGCTGATGAAGAGGAGGGGGAAGAAGACGAGGAGAAAGGCGATGGTTCGGACATGTCCGGGTGGCCGAGATCCAGATGCAGTCTGTCTGTCGCGCCGAAAGCAACGACTGTGGCGCCCGCCGCCCACAGCACCTCCACGGCAGAGCCGCTCGGCGACCCGCCGCGCCATGGTGCCGCGGCGGCCGTCGCGCTGCAGGCGGCCGTGCGCCTGCGAAGCGGCCGCGGGCTCCGCGAGCGCCGCGGCGGCCGCCTGCCTCGACGGCAATCCTGCGCACCTGCTCGCCGTCGCCTCGGCTTGATCGCCAGATGCAGCGGCGGCCCTGGCGGCGCGGCCAGCGGCGGCCGGCGAGGGATTGAGGGGCGACCAGACGGAGACGTTCCGCCACCAGCGCTCGGCGCTGGCAGGGGAGGCCACGACGAGGTCCACGACTGCTCCCCGGATCGTGCCATTCACCAGCGTCTGGCAGAGCAGAGGCACCCGCCGCTCCAGGCCGCCGACGGCGCCATACGGAGCGAAGCTCGTCCCCGATGACCCCCCTGATCGCCCTAGGCGTGCTGGGAAGGCTTGGCAAGACGCCCTGCGAGGCCCGGGGGGGCGCTTCGAGGCCCGTCCGGAGGGCCCCAAAGCCCCAGATCCTGGGCGTCCGCTTTTGAAGGGGAGGGTGGGTGGGGGGCGTTCCCCCCGCCCGGGCTCTTAAAAATATAGGAAGTGGAATGTGCACGCGTTTCCTTATGGGCACTTTTCAGATGCGTTGTACACGTATGCGTGCACACGCATCTACAATCTGGGACCCTGCGACGCCCCACCCGAGACAGGACCCTCCGGATCCCTGGCCCCCCGGAGCTTTTCGGACGCCCCTCGAAAGGGCCACCGGGGACTTCTGGGCCTTCGGGGGTTCCCGCCGAGCCAGCAGATGGTCAGCGACGCTGCCACGAGGCCCTCGAGACAGTCCATGACGCCCCCACGACGCCTCGAGATGGCTCCCAGAGGATCCCGAAGACGGCCCCAAGAGGCAACAAGCATACAGCTTCACAGCTTTCTGTAGCTTTTGTCGCGAAACTTTGGCATTCCCGCTTTTCTCCGGCTCCCGACTCTCCAGGATGGCCACGAGGCCTCCAAAGTCGCCCCTGCACGGCCCAAGACGCTCCTCCGCGGGGCCCACGACAGCCCTGCGCGGGGCCCAGGACGGCCGAAGATGCCCCCACGATGGCCCGAAAGGGCTCCAAGAGGGGTCCAAGAGGGCATTTCGAGCTCCAAAAGGGGTCCAAGGGCTCCAAGAAGGCTGGTGGAGCTCCTTGTGGGGGAACGAAACGCTTGAAGGGTGTGCCGGGGCGTTCGGTGGGTCTCCCCGTAGGCCAGCGAAACACGTGTGTGGGCCATATCGAAAAGGGTGCGGCACCGCCATGCGGACCCTTCCGCTGGGGCGCTCGGTGGGGTTCAGCATGGGGCCACGAAGCGTGTGAGGGGTGACCCGAGGGAGGGCTGAGGCAGGGATGGGAGGAGGAGGGGAAGGAGGAGGAGGAGGGGGAGGAGGAGGAAGGAGGAGGAGGAGGAGGAGGAGAAGGAAGGAAGAGGGGAGGAGGAGAAGGCGGGTAGGATGAAGAGAAGGAGGAGGAAGGGGAGTAGCGGAGAATAGAGGACGAGGAGGACGATGATGACGAGGAGGATCAAGGAGGCTAGGAGTACGATGAGGACGAAGAACGAGGCGATGACGAGGACGCGAGGAGGGGAGTATGAGGAGGCGGAGGGGAAAAGGAGGAGGAGAGGAGGAGCAAAGGAGGAGGTAGCAGGAGGCAGAAGGAGGAGAGGGGATGATGATGATGATGTGATGATGATGATGATGATGATGTATGATGATGATGATGATGTGATGATGATGATGATGATGACGATGACGATGACGATGACGATGACGTGAATGATATGATGATGTATGCTAAAGGTGATGTGGTGATGATGATGATACTGATGATATATGGTGGTGTGATGATGATGATGGTGATGATATTATATTGTTATGATGATGATGCTGCTGATGATGATGATGATGATGATGATGATGATGATATGATGATAATGATGATGATGATGATGATGATGATGATGATGATGATGATGATGATGATGATGATGATGATGATGATGATGATGATGATGATGATGATGATGATGATGATGATGATGATGATGATGATGATGATGGAGATGATGATGATGATGATGATGATGATGATGATGATGATGATGATGATGATGATGATGATGATGATGGTTGTGGTGGTGGTGGTGGTGGTGGTGGTGGAGGTGGTGGTGGTGGTGGTGACGATGATACTGATGATGATGATGGTGCTGATGATGATGATGCTGATGATGAGGACGACGACGACGACGAAAAGAAGAAGAAGGAAAACGATGAAGAGGACGACGACGACGACGACGACGACGACGACGACGACGACGACGACGAGCACAAGTACGAGCACGAGATGGAGGAGCAGGAGGAGGAGCAGGACGGCGCAGCGGGGGAGGCGAAAGACCAGAGGGACCCGCCCGATGAAGGCTCAGCGCAGGCTGAGCCCGAAGGCGCTCGCGACGGTCTCCTCGGCCGCCGCCGTGCTGAGCAGCCGGCCCCCTGGCAGGACGGCGTCGACGCGCGCCAGGATCGGGCCGAGCCGGCCCGCGCGGTGGTGGGCCGCCAGCCGCGCGCGGACGCGCGCGAGGCGAGTGGCGGGCGCTGCCCACAGCCGGCAGCGCTCCGCCCCCGCGAGCGTCGCGAAGCGCACCGAGTCGCCCTCCAGCGACGCCTGCAGCAGCAGCGTCGGCAGCAGGTGGGCCGCGTAGGCCAGGCCTGCCGGCAGGGCCGGGAGGTCGCGCTGGCCGCTGCCGTTCCAGCCGCAGGCCACGGCGGCGCCGTCGCTCCGGAGCAGCACGGTGTGGCCGCCTCCGGCGGCGACCTGCTCGTAGGCCAGGCGCTCCGCGAGCGGGGGCAGGCCGCACTGGCCGCGGTCGTTCGAGCCACACGCCACGGCGGCGCCGTCGCTCCGGAGCAGCGCGGTGTGGTAGAGCCCGGCGGCAACCTGCGTGTAGCTGAGGCCGTCTGCCAGCGCCGGGAGGGCGCATTGGCCCTCGTCGTTCCGGCCCCGCGCCACGCGCCGCCGCCGCGCTCTGCCGCGGCCGGTGCAACGAGTGTGTGGCAGGCTCGTGTCGTGACGACCCTGGCGCTGGCCTCGGACGACGCGTGGATTGTTCAATCCTGAGCGATCGGCAGAGTTTCGATCGCCAGATCGTGCCACATCAGCCGACTGTGGGCCACTCGCGGCGTTCAACCTTGAAGGCCCGCGGCGGAGCCGCCGCCGCATCGACGCGACACGAACCTGCCGTACGCTGAAATCCCTGCTTGCTCTCTCGGTTCTGCCCGCTGCGGGGGCAGGTAGCCCAGGCCACCACCGCATCGAGGACAGCATTCGCCCAGTTCGATTGGAGCCCGAGCCCGACGGCTTTCCCACAGGCGTGCTTGCGGCTGTGCGCGGCAGCGCGGCTGGATAGTCCCGTCGCTCCTGAGGAGAACGCTGTGGAGCTCCCCCGCGGCAACGTGCGTGTAGCCGAGGCCGTCCGGGAGCCCTGGCGGGAGGTCACACTGGCCGCAGCAGTTCCCGCCGCGGGCGACGGCGGCGCCGTCGCTCCTGAGCAGGAGGGTGTGGAAGAATCCAGCGGCAACGTGCGTGTAGATCAAGCCACTCGCGGGCACGGGGAGGTCACACTGGCCCTCCGCAGCTCGCCCGCACGCCACGGCGGCGCCGTCGCTCCTCAGCAGCACGGTGTGGCCCCTCCCGGCGGCGACCTGCGTGTAGGTCAGACCCTGCTCCAGCGCTGGAAGGTCGCACTGGCCCTGGTCGTTCTGGCCGCAGGCCACGGCCGCGCCCTCGCCCGTGAGCAGGACCGTGTGGCGCTCTCCGGCGGCGACCTGCGCGTAGGTCACGCTCTGCGCCGCCGCCGGGAGGTCGCACTGGCCCTCGCGGTTGCGGCCGCACGCCACGACGGAGCCGTCGCTCCTCAGCAGGACGGTGTGGTGCCTCCCCGCGGCGAACATCCGACCCGCGGGCAGGCCGCGCGGGCCGCCGCCGCCGCCGCCTGCGGATCGGGCCGCGGCGCCCTTGCAGGGAGGAGGGAGGCGGCACAGAGGCACCACCGGAGAGCAAACCAGCAGCGTCCACCTCTCGGAGGTCCGCGCGGGCTTCGTGCATCGGCGCTGGGCCCTCGTCCCTGGCGCGCGGAGCGCGCCCGCCAGGGCAGTCCAGCGCCGATCCGAGCAAGTCGGGCGGACCTCCGAGGCTTCTTGCTTCCGTCATGCCTCCTCCTCCTCCTCCTCCTCCTCCTCCTCCTCCTCCTCTCCTCCTCCTCCTTCCTCCTCCTACTCCTCCTCCCTCCCGCCTCCCTCCCTCCCTCCCTCCCTCCCTCCCTCCCTCCCTCCCTCCCTCCCTCCCTCCCGCCCTCCCTCCCTCCCTCCCTCCCTCCCTCCTCCACCCTCCCCGAGAATCTTCCCACCTCCCGCCCTCCCTCCCTCCCTCCCTCCCTCCCTCCCTCCCTCCCTCCCTCCCTCCCTCCCTCCCTCCCCCCTCCCTCCCTCCCTCCTCCATCCCTCCCCTCCTCCCTCCCTCCCTCCCTCCCTCCCTCCCTCCCTCCTCCTCCTCCTCCTCCTCCTCCTCCTCCTCCTCCTCCTCCTCCTCCTCCTCCTCCTCCTCCTCCTCCTCCTCCTCCTCCTCCATCCCGAAAGCCCTCCCCTCCCTCCCTCCTCCCTCCCTCCCTCCCATCCCTCCTCCCTCCCTCCCTACCCTCCTTACCCTCCCTCCCTCCCTCCCTCCCTCCCTCCCTCCCTCCTCCCTCCCTCCTCCCGCCCTCCCTCCCTCCCTCCCTCCCTCCCTCCCTCCCTCCCTCCCTCCCTCCCATCCCTCCCTCCTCCCCCCTCACCTACCTCCCTCCTCCCTCCTCTCCTCCCTCCCCTTCCCCTCCCTCCCCCCTCCCTCCCCCCGCCTTCCTCCCTCCCTCCCTCCCTCCTTCTCCTCCTCCTCCTCCCTGCTCTCCCTCCTCCCGTCCTCCTCCTCCCCTCCTCCCTCCCCCCCTCCCTCCCTCCCTCCTCCTCATCCTCCTCCTCCTCCTCCTCCTCCTCCTCCTCCTCCTCCTCCGAGCACGGGCGAGCGAACGAGCACCTCTGCGGGCCACCGCCCGGGCCAGGCGGGCGAGGGCCACAGCCGCGGTGGTCCGCGGAGGCCACGCCGTCTCCCTCGGCTAGCGTTGGGACGGGCAGGTCCTCCTACAGGCGGATGTTTGACGAAAAACTTCAGATACTTAAGAAATACTCGGCGACTACAATGGGTGCGGTTTGCGAAGGGTGCGTTTTGCCTCCCGTCTTTTCTGCCCCTCCCCCCCAGGAAACGAATGACACTGTCACTAAATGCGACCGAATCACATGACACTGTCGCTCCTTCTAATACAGTGGAGCACACATCGAGGACGACAGTGTCGCTCGAAGCGACGACAGTTATGACATTGTCTCTCACAAAGACCCCGGAAAGCCACAAAGTAACTCGCAAACCGCACCACGGCGTAACCGCACCGATTGTAGTCGCCGAAATACCCCAATTTTTTGGGCTATCTTGAATTTTCCTCCTGCGGAGGGACATGCCCGGACTTGAGGCTAGCGGGGTGCCAGCGGAGGGCCGAAGGGAGCGTGCGGCCTGGAAGCAGCGGGCGCAGCGCCGGCAGATCGGCGACAGGGGCCGCCGGGGCGGCAGAAGCTCGGGTTTGTGAGGCGGGGCATCGAAGTCGCGGGGTCCGCCCCGAAGTCCAAATCAGGACGCACCGCAGGAGAGGTCGGGGGAGGGAGAGGTGAGGAGGGCGGGCGTGTGGGGGGGAGCTGGGAGGCGGGGGGGGCAGGGGAAACGATGCGATACGCAAGCAGCGCGGTGGCCTCGAGTCTGCATTGCCTCGCCGTCGTTATCTGCGCAGGCCGTCCCAGGCGTCAAGGAAACCCTCCGCCTCCCACCGAAGCGACAAAGTCGCTGCCCCACGGCGCTCCCTGAGAGCACACCACCGCCGACTGGCGCCCCCGTCGAGCACCTCCAACAAATGGAGGGAGGGGGGTAGGGGAGGAGAGAGAGGAGCAAGACCGTGTCGCCCAGTGGGGGACGAAAAGGACAAGACCAAGGTAGGCCGATGGTTCAAGTACCAGCCCTTTGGGCGGAGGCGGTCTAACAGCATCATTACCTTCTCTTCCCAAAAACACTTCCCTTCAGTGAGGGGCACCCTCCCCTTCCCTTCCCTGAGGTTTTCGTTTTAGCGGGCCGCCATGTATCAAAGGCTCCTTCTTCGCACAAAACGGTTCCTACAGGGCCCCCGATGCTCCAAGATGGCCTCCACGGCGGTTAGCCTTCTTCCTCCCCCTCCTCCACCTTCCACCTCCTCGTTCTCCAATTCCTCTCCCCATTCCCTCCTCCCTCCCTCTTCCTCCCCCTCCTCCTCCTCCTCCTCCTCCTCCTCCTCCTCCTCCTCCTCCTCCTCCTCCTCCTCCTCTCCCGCCTCCTCCTCATCATCATCATCATCCTCCTCCGGTTCGTCCTTTCGCCTCCTACTCTTTCGAAAAAGTATCGGCTGCCACCCGTTTTGTTCCACTGCATGCTGCTACGCTTCCCTGCCCAGGGAATTCGCCTAGTGAACTGTTGGGGATGCTTTTTTGATGTTTTGATGCGCGGCCCGCAAGGGAAAGTCCAGAAGGCGGTGCGAACGAGGCTGGGACACAGCGCGCGGGAAGGCAGATAATTAACGGCGCAGCACAAGTGCCGGCCAAAAAGAAGCAGCTGAGCATGTGCCAGCAGCAGAAAATTAACAACGCTGAACATGTGCCAGCGAGAAATGCAAATGGGAAGAACCAGCCGCTGAGCGTGAGCCAGCGAGGGTGGGGAGGGCGGAAGGGTCGGACCCGCAGGTGGGGCCAGACTGCCAGGCGGAAGGTGCCAAAACCACTCACTCACTTGGAACGTCGGCCAGACTGTACGCCGCTGAGGGGGGTTCGGGCCAAAGCCTGGAGATGGCCGACCACAAAGGAGAGCGCCCGCGATGGCCCCTGGTACCAAGGCGGTGTGCGGCTTGCGCATCTCGAAGGCACTCCTGTGACTGTAGCAAGCGCCAGAACGGTGCCTGACCGACGTCCTTGTCCGCCAATGTTGTTGGGGATGCGCGAAGCGTCAAGAATTCTTTGTTATTCCGCGCCCCAAGGAAACACGACGAACCTTCGGTCAATGGGCGCGTAGGCAAATATGCGTGTTTCAAACAGTGCTTGCCATCAGACGAGGCTCCTCTGCCACTCTGCCGCTTGGACCCACTTGAGGCCCCAGGGGCAAATATTTGGTGTTGTACCACTCGCTTCCTCGAAGCAATACCAGACACAGTGAAATGCATGAGCTAGCAACCAGTAGTTGCTATAGCACCGTGGAACTCTGCTCGGACTGCCCGCGCCAGATCTATGATGGTGAGAGAGAGGGAGAGCCAACCTCTTTCACATTGAGAAAGGGAGAGAGAGGAAAGAGAAAGAAAGAAAGAGAGAACAACCACAACGAAAACAACGACGACGACGCGGACGACGACGACAACAACAACAACAACAACAACAACAACCACAACGACAACAACAACAACAACAACAACAACAACAACAGCAACAACAACAACAATAAGTCTAAGACTGTTCGCCCTTATATGCTCGAGTGTCCAATAACGCGTATTTCCCAAACCCTCGATACCAGCCCTTTTCGTCTTCGATCGAACCCCTTTTGGGGGGTATACCTTTCTTCCCTGCAGGCCCGGCCCCGGCAAGCGGCGGGGCGGCCGCGGATCGTCGGCCTGGCCAGCGGCAGCGCTGATCGGCGGGGCGGCCGCGGACCGTCGACCCGACCCCAAGAGGGACGGACAGAGGACCGACCGCGACGACGACGACGACGACCCCCGAAGGCCCAAGGAGGCCTCCAAGAGGCCCCCAAGAGGCCCCCAAGAGGCTCCCAAGAGGCCCCAAGAGGCCCCCAAGAGACCCCCAAGCGGCTCCCAAGAGGCCCCCAAACTGCTCCCAAGAGGCCCCCAAGAGCGACCCGAACAAACCCGAAGAAGCATCCGCGAGAACCCTTTATCCACCACTCCTGCACGGTGGCGGGATTGGCTGAAAGCCATTGTTGGTTAGTATGGTATCTCTGTATACACAAACATCTATACACACACCAATATACACACAAATATAAATACGTACATAACCAATATACAAAACATATATGTATACATACACATACATGCGTGCATGCATGCATATATACATACATGTATATATGCATGCATACAGACATACATACATACATACATACATACATACATACATACATACATACATACATACATGCATGCATGCATGCATACATACATACATACATACATACATACATGAATACATGCATACATACACACATGCATGCATGCATGCATACACACATACATACATACATACATACATACATACATACATACATACATACATACATACATACATACATACATGCATGTATACATATACAGATACATGCACAAATACATATACATATACATATGCATATACAAATACATATACCTATACATATACATATGCATACACATATGCATATACATATACATATATGTATATGTATAAATGTATACAACAACATTTACATAGACATATGCATATACAAAAACAGATACATATACATAGACCCATTCATACATTTCTATCACCCGGGACCCCCCCCCCCCGAAATCGGATCCCCCGAATCCCGAACCCCCCAGACCATCTGGACCCCCCGGACCCGTGGACGCCCCTGCAGGAGGGCCCCCCGGCGTTTCAGAGCTCCTGGAAGCCCTTGCTGGGCCCAGGCAACGGGCCCAAATCGGTCAAGAGGGCGGCCGAACGCCCCCCGATGGCCCCAAGAGGCCCCAGACACCCACCAGACGCCAGAAGACGACCCAAAGAAGGGTTTCGGGTTCGAATCCCCCCCCTGCGAAAGTCACCATTTCATTATATCATCCTGCGTCCCTCTCCTCTTCTCTCTCTCTCTCTCTCTCTCTCCCTCTCTTTCTCTCTCCCTCTCTCTGTCTCTATCTCCCTCTCTCTGTCTCTACCTCAGTCTCTCACTCTCTCTGCCCTCCCGCGGCTTCCCGCTCCGCAGCCAGGGGGGTCGTGCTGATAGTGATGGTCTTCGTCATGTTCGGGGGGGGGGGGGGGGCGAAAAAAAAAAAAAAAAAAAAAAAAAAAAAAAATGAAAAATCAAGAAGATTTTTTTTTTTTTTTTTTTTTTTTTTGTGCCCCCCCCCCCCCCCAGCCACGAGTCGACTCAGTCTCTCACACTCTCTCTGCCCTCCCGCGGCTGCCCGCTCCGCAGCCAGGGAGGTCGCACTGGTAGTGATGGTCTTCGTCATGGTTCGGGGGGGGGGGGGGGGCGAAAAAAAAAAGAAAAAAAAAAAAAAAAAAAAAGTTGAAAATCAAGAAGTTTTTTTTTTTTTTTTTTTTTTTTTTTTTTTGTTGCCCCCCCCCCCTCCCCCCTAGCCACGAGTCGATCATCACAATCGCATTAGGTTGCATTGCGTTGCATTTCCCCTTTCAGTTCCTAGCTCCGTGGAGGGTCGGAGGCGGAGGGGAGGAGGAAGGGCATGCATCATTTTGGGTTGAGCCACTCTCTCCTGTCTTCCTCCCTCTGTCTGGGGGGTCTGCGGGGGAGGAGGGAGGAGGAGGAGCAGGAGCCACGTCGCATGCACTGCGTTGCAATCGCATTGCATTGCATTGCAATCGGATTGCGTTGCATTGTATTGCAATCGAACTCATCGCATGTGCCGCTTCTGCAATGCAATCGGTTGCATTGCTATCGCGTTGCGTCACATTACAATCGGATTGTATTTGCTATGCTGGTGCGCACGGGTTCGGTGACTCGTGCAGGGATTGGGAACGGATGCTCTTACATGGGAAGAAGAAAAAAAAGAGGAGGCGGAGGAGGAGGAGGAGGAGGAGGAAGGGCCCCGAAGGATTCAAGCATCCTTGCCCCTGCGGGTCCACGTGCAGCACCGTAGGGCACCAGAGCCGTCCTCTGCGGACTTGCGTCCTCGCCGACAGATAAAACAGTGTAGACAGCGTGTGGCACCCCGAGTAGTCCACACCATCCTCCACCTCCCGCAGCTATTTTGGCCCAAGAGTTTTTTTTTTGGGGGGGACGCAGTAGTCGTAGTAGTCGTAGTAGTAGTAGTAGTCGTAGTAGTAGTAGTAGTAGTAGTAGTAGTAGTAGTAGTAGTAGTAGTAGTAGTAGTAGTAGTAGTCGTAGTAGTAGTACTAGTACTAGTAGTAGTAGTAGTAGTAGCAGTAGTGGTGGTGATAGTAGTAGTAGTAGTAGTAGTCGTGGGAATAGTCGTGCTAGTATCAGTAGTAGTAATACTAGTAGGAGTAGTAGAAGTCTTAGTACCAGTAGCAGCAGTAGTAGTTGTAGTAATAATAGTGGAAGTTGTAATAGTGGAAGTTGTAATAGTATTAGTAGTAGTAGTAGCAGACGTCGGCGTTGTACTCGTAGTAGTACAGTAGTAGTAGTAGTAGTAGTAGTAGTAGTAGTAGTAGTAGTAGTAGTAGTAGTAGTAGTAGTAGTAGTAGTAGTAGTAGTAGTAGTAGTAGTAGTAGTAGTAGTAGTAGTAGTCGTAGTAGTCGTAGTAGTAGTAGTAGTAGTAGTAGTCGTCGTAGTAGTACTACTACTACTACTATTACGGCCACCACTACTACTACTACTACGACTACTTTTACTACTACTACTACTGCTACTACTGCTGCTCCTACTACTACTACTACTACTTCTACTACTACTACTACTACTACTACGACGACGACGACGACGACGACGACGACGACGACGACGACGACGACGACGACGACGACGACTACTACTACTACTACTACTACTACTACTACTACTAGTACTACTACTACTACTACTACTACGACGACGACGACGACTACTACTACTACTACTACGGCGACTACTACTAGTACTACTACTACTACTACTAATTATACTACTACTGCTGATCCTACTACTACTTCCACTACTACTACTACTACTGCTACTACGATTCCGAGTCTTACTACTACTACTACGACTATTTGCTCTTTTGCTACTACTACTACGACTATTACTACTACTACTACTACTACTACTACTACTACTACTACTTCTACTGCTACTACTTCCACTACTACTACTACTACTGCTACGACTACGACTACTACTACTACTACTACGACTACTACTACTACTACCACTACTACTACTGCTACGGCTACTACTACGACTGCTACTACTATTTCCCTTACTACTACTACTACTACTACTACTACGACTACGACTTTATTACTACTACTACTACTGTTATTACTACGACTACTACTACTACTACTACTACTACTACTACTACTACTCCGACTACTGCTACTACTACTTGTTTTACTACTACTACTACTACTGCTACTACTACTACTACTACTACTATTACGACTACTACTAGTACTAGTGTTACTAGTACTACTACGACTGTTTCTGTTACTATCCCTACAGCTACAGGACTACGACAGTGCTACCAGTTCATTGCTAAACTATGGTTGCTGGCAGAAGGGAGACAGGAGGGCCAGGATGCAATGCAATGCGGATGCCATGACAATCCCATGAACTTCGATGCGATCGCAAAGACAATTCAATGCAATGCGGATGCCATGCAATGCGATGCGATCGCACTGCTGCGCGGTGTGTTGGCATCTCACTGCCCCGAGAGCCCTTTGAGTGCTCCAGTACTCCAGAGCACTCCAGAACGGCGCGGCACCGTGCAGGTTTGGCACCGCTCCCTTGCGGCCAACGCCGCTGCTGGTGGTTGTCGACTGGTGGTGGTGGGGGGGCAAAGACACATTCTGGATTTCTTAACATGATTTATTTTGCCCCCCCCCAACCACCAAGAGAGTCGGCATCGTAGGCAGTAGGCAATGGGAAAGAGAGACGGGAGGTCAAGGGCAGAGCGGGTATACACCGTCCCGACACCAGAAGCACGCAAACGACACACCGCCAACCAGAAAACAAAAAATCACACTTTCGCAGGGGGGGGATTCGAACCCTGAACCCCAAAGAAGACCCCCAAGAGGCTTCCAAAACGCAGAAAAACATTGATTTCCCAAGATTTTTGCCTGATATTGGGAATGCCCTGCTCTTCGGTCTTCTGGGCGTCCGAGACCGCCTGGGAGGCTCGAAAATCGCCCCAAAGCCATCCGAAGGGGCTTCTGGGCAGTCCAAGAGAGCCCCAAGACGGCACGGCAGAGCGCCAAGATGGCCTAAGAGAGCCCCATGACGGCCCAAGATGGCCCCAAGACACCCTCCGAAGCGGTCCAAATCTAGGAGGCTGGTTTTTGAAATTAAACACCAATTTTTGGATTCAAAAACCAGTCCCCTAGCTCTGACGCGGTCGTTCAGGGAGACCGCGGCTGGAGGCAGGGTGGCGCGAGGAAGCCCCCAGAGGCCCCCAGAAGACGCCCAGGAGGCCTCCGGAAGGCCTTCAGAAATCGACAGGCGCGTTCCACTACTCGCAGAATAGCTACTCACAAATGGCCTGGATCCTCCGCGGGGGATCTACGATAAATTACATCGAAGCAGACATGTGTTGTTCGGGCGTTTGCGAGTAGGCACTTTGCGAGTAGCGGAACGCGCTGGGTGATTAAGAAAGCTTGAAAAACGTCCGTGAGGTCCCGAGAGGCTCTCCAAGGAGGAGCCTCCGCAAAAAGAGCTCAGGAGGATGGGGAGGAATTCGAAGGGTAGGGCGAGAATGAAGAAAAAATCATGGAGGAAGGATGACGAATAGCATTATTATATCATGAAATTGTCTGTTTGGTCTTCCTGCCATTCCGCACGCATACCAAACTTCAAGAACCAAGGTGCATGGCGTGAAGCACCAATGCTGCCTTGTGTGTATGCATATATGTATTCACGTGTATGCATGCATGCATACATACATACATGTATACGTACATACGTACATATAAACATATATACATACGTACATACGTACATACGTACATACGTACATACATACATACATGCATACATACATACATACATACATACATATTGGAACTATGTATGCATCTATATATAGACATACACATGTACATATATTTGTATATACACCTATCCACAATCAAATAAATGTAAAACTAAGTGTATGCACATACACATACACATGCACATGCACATACACATAGACACGTACACGTCAGCCGAAATGTACATATACATATCCACATACAAACACATATACGCATACACAGACAAACACGTATATAGAGAGAGACACGTACATATATATATAACTGCACGCGCACCCACCCCCCTCGCGGAGAAAGGGGGGAGGTGAGGGTCGCTCTTTTCCTCGAGCAACAAAGGGCTGCAGGATTTCCTGGATCCTCCAGGACAGTCTAGATTATATTTTATATAATCATATATCTATGTGAAACTACAAACTTCCTAGCACCTCTCCTTGGGCGCTGGAAGCGGCTCGGCCTCCAGCCAAGAAAAGTGAGCCACAGGGAAGCCTCTTTGTGCTCCCTGGGCAGGCGTCGCAACGGCGCTGGCCCCCTAAACCCATCGCGGGGCTACCCGCTGAGGGCAGGCGCGGGGCAAACCGCAGCCTGTAAAACAAAGCTCACCCTCGGCCGTCGTAGTGCTTCCTGCGACCATTCTCCTAGCCCTCTCCGTGGATCACCTGAGAGCCTCTGGAACGGTCTCGGCACTCGCCCTTGAACGTCTCGATCCACTTCTGCGCAGCCTCTGGACTGCTGATGTCCTGCAAGCTAAGCTTGGCAAGAGGTCCATGCGCTGTAGCCATCACCCGCAGCTGCTCGATCTCCTTGGCCTGGCGATCCGACAGAACACCTCCGTGCTTGATCATCCTCGTGACCAGGTCTTCTTTGATCCCTGACACGGCCAGGCTCTTGGCCTTCAAGACAGCTCGCAGCTCAGCCACAAGAAACGTGTTTAAGAGCTTGTGCCTTGCACCTTTGTCCTGCTGTGCACACACGGTCTTGAACTCGACGTCAGCCCGCGCAGATGGTGGGCAAGTGCTTCCAGAGGCGGGGCTAACCGCACCCTGGAGGAGGAACTTGTCGTAGAAGTTCTTGAAGTAGCAACCACACCAGCACCCCAATAAGAAAGTACTCGCTGCAGTCACCATAACAAGTCCCAACATCAAGTAGAACCTGAACTCCTCGCTCTCCACATAGTGGCTGACAGGCGCGGGGCAAACCGCAACCTCGTCAGATCCTCCGTACACTGTCACCTTCTCGCCTGACGCCTTCGTCACGACCTCCGTGAAAACTGCCATTGCGCTCAAGCCCGTCATCTGCTTTCCGAACCTGAGGTTGAGAGTGGTGCAATGCTTCTCGATTGTCGGCCACTCGCTGTACTTCGTGAGCATGTCGGCTGTCATCTTGCTGGTGTCCTCCTTGTGAAGCTCGAACGCCTTGAGACGCAACCGCTCCTGAATCCACAAGTACCTCAGCTCCAGATGCCTGACCTTGCCCACCCCAACTCGGCTGCACATGCCACGTCCAGCTGTGCTGTCACTATAGATCTTCAGGTTGCAGGGCCTCTGGGTCTCGATCAGGTAAGTCTTACACTGAAGTCCTCTGGCTGTCGCACTTCCCGTAGCATACATCTCGGATTCCCCTGAACTTAGGGCTATCGTACTCTGCGTCACTGAGTAGCAGTCCCAAGTGTGGTCGCCATACCTCACAGCTCCTCCACTGGTAGATCGCCGCTGTAGTTCACTCGTAGGTGCCCAATCCGCATCACCATCTACACGAATGCCTTCAGGAGTACCTTGAAGTGGGTAACACCAGACCAAAACAGGCTGTCCTTCGTAGTACCTTCCAAGTCGCTGAACACGCGCATGCATCAAGACGTTCGGGTTGGAGACGTGCTGCATCGCTGTCTTGCTGGCGTACATCGTGTCGGGCCTGTCCGAAGAAAGGTAAAGAGCGGTGCCTGCTGCACCCGCCACTTCTCGAGCACGATCCTTGGAAAGAAGGTCTAGGCTGTCTCGTCGGCCTTGTCCTGTAGCTTTCGTTCCTGGAGTAGGAGCTGGTTTACAACCTCGCTTCTGCGTCCACTTGATCATGAAGTCCACATGCTTGGGATCGGCAGTCCAGAAGAAACCTGGCTCCTCGCAACCTGGCAACTTGTCGGTGTAGCCGATCGTCCTCTTGAGGTATGTAGTCTGCCCCACCGCTCCTGGTCCAAGTCTGGCGCTGGCCGTGACCTCAAACTGCTGCTTCAACAACTCGTCCAGCTCGTCCAGCTGCTCGTCGTAGCCTTCAGCAAGAAAGTCATCGCCATGGCAGATCGCTGTGCTATCCTCGTCGAAGGGGGCTGTGTTGGGGCTAGCAGGTAAGTAGAACACGTTAGGAGTTCCAACCAAGCATTCCCAATGGCCGTCGTCCATAGTAGTTCTCACAAGCTCACCCCACATCTGCGACGCCTTCCTGGTACCGTTCATGGCCTTGCGTAACCACCAGCACCTTCCAGGCGGACACAGCTCTCTCCCAGGATGCACGTAGATCGTCTCGTCTAAGTCAGCGTTGAAGAAAGCCTTCCTGACGTCCCAGACTTGTATCTTCCGCAGGTGCTGCCCGCTGGAAGTTGGACTTGAAGCGGCACGGCTCAGCGTCGCTCTGACAATCATGAGCGGGGGCGTGCCTTGGTGGTTGTCCTCCCTGACCTCGTACTTGTTCACCTCGGTTGCTACGAACCTCCACCTGACCTTTCCTTCTTTCATGTGGGCTATCGGGAAACCTCCAATGTGCTTGCCGTCAGTCGCCGTCGATGTCGCCACTTCCACGTAGACCCCGTAGTCTTTCATGGCCTGCAGCTCGTCGTCGCGACCCTTCTGATACAGGTCCTCATCCAGAGGCTCTCCAGTATAGTAATCGTAGTGTATCGTCTTTGGGCTCCACTGGTCTTTCTCATGCAGCTCGGCGCTCACCTCAACCATCTGCTCCACCTGCTGATCCTCAGGATCTCCGAAGTGGCTCCTGATTGTGCCGATGTGGCTCATCAAACATCTCCTGCATGCACACTCAGCTTGGTGGCATTCTCGTAGCTGGCATCGTGACGAGTGCTTCTCACACCTCTCGGAACATCTCGCACTGCGCTTTGGGTGTGGATCCCACATGGGGTCGAAGCTCTCGTCGTAGCCCTCCTCGCAGACTGCCAACTCACAGACAGAGAGATGCCCAATGCTTGCTACCCTGGGCTTCTTGACCTCAGCTCCTTCACGAACTTCACCTGGGGCACTTCGCCGAAAGTCGCTCCTGAGCTCGCCACTCTCCGTGTCCATGGCTGTCTGCACCTCAGCCTCTCCTGGGCCAGGGACCATAGCTACGTCGCTGGCAGCAGGTGCGGGGCTCACCGCAACCTCACTGCTGCTTGATGCCGCTGCTCCTCCTGGTGCGGCTCCAGGCGCGGGGCTACCCGCAGCCGGTGCTGGCACCACGACTGTAGCCTCAGGGGCCACAGGGTCCTTTGCCAACTTCTCGCGCAGCAAGTCGGCCTGAATGGTCTCGAAACGCTGTCGGCAGGCTGCCGAATGCGAACCGTATCCTGTACTGCACTTCCTGCACTCGTCAGTAGGACCATGAGCATCGATCATGCGCTCCGTGATGTACATGCTGCGTCCGATCGTTCCTGAACTCTTGTCGGGCGTCTGCTTCCAGGGCGTCACCCTGATGTGCTGGATGAGCTCGGGCTGCCATCTGAACTCCTCAGGCATCCTTCGCACCGTTCTGACCTTCTGCACTCCACGTTCAGGATCGATCACGAGATGTGTATCGTCCAGCTCACTCTTACCAACCCAGATTCCTTTTGCGAAGCGGGCTTCCCATTTGCCACGTCCCGCGGCAACTCTGGCTGAGATCCGATACCAGACCTGCTCACCCATCTCCGCAATCTCGCCGTTGTACTCTTTGCCGTAGAGCATCTTGTAGGAGGAACCTCCGTGACTGCGAGGCTGGAATCTGGTAATCATCCACCCCACTGAGTTCACAAGCCATGGCACGATCGGATCCGTCATCTTGATCTCACAGCCCAGCTTGTGCTCCAGCTTCAGCTTGTAGGCTCGAAGTAGACCAGCTGCTAGCTTGTTAGCTCCTTCAGCGTAGCCTGCACTTTGCTTGGAAAAGGGCGGTGATCCCCGCACCAAGGTTGAGTGTGATCTGCGATCTCGAACTGCCTGCGCCAGAGCCATGGTGGCAGGCTCCTGGTCTGTCTGAAGTATGACTGTTGTGTGGCCCCAAGCTTCCAGCACGCCTAGCAGGAAGGACACCTTGTAGTCATCCGTCTCCTTGTTCGCGTACAACGTCGCCTGAGCCAAGATCTTACAGTCGATAACATTCAAGACAGAGACCGCTTGGTCTAGCTCGGCCTTCGTGACCGACATCTTCTCCCTGATGCTGAAGTAACCTCCTTTAAGCTTGTACTTCGCAGCCAGCTGGTCCGTCCCTACGTAAAAGATGTCGAACATGACCTTCGGGATCTTGTTCTCATCAGCTGGTTCCTGAGCGTGGTGTGGGTCATCGTCTGCTCGAGCCTGCACGCAGATGGGACACCAAGGCCGAAAAGGTAGATGATGCCCTTCGTGCGCGGCTCTCTCCGCAGCACTAGGTTGGTGAGGAGTCTTCAACACTCTCGTTGGCACAGTTGTGGTCTCATCAGCTTCAGGACCTAGAACCTTCGGCAAAGATCCAGCTTCCTGTTCAGCTGGTACCTTCCTCGGTAGCGTCTTTCGGACCGCAGCTACCTTTGAAGCTTCTGGTTGAGTCTGGCCGTCGATGATGTGATCGTACTCTAAGTAGTAGTTGCCTTGGTGACGACGTAGAGGTACGAACTCAGCTCCGTCAGGTGGCTCGACGGTACCGTTGATGATCCAGTGACCTGCAGGGCTATGAAGAACACTCTGACCACGTTGTACTACAGCATCTGTAGCCACAACTGGGTACTCCACATCGGCAACCTCTGCACCGACTTGAATAACCTCTCCTCCTCGGGATAGGTTCAGCTCCACGTGGCCGTACCTCTCGATCTCCTCGCCTCCTATGCCCTTCAAGCCGACAACGTTGCTGTCCGTCGGCGTGTAGTTATGCTTGGTCACCTGTGATCTCGGTATCGCACTGATCTGCGCACCTGAGTCGAGCATGATCGCATTCCGAAGCGGGGCTAACCGCAATCGGTCATCTGCAGGGCTCTGATCTTCATCCACGGGCCGAAGACCAGCGACGGTGACATGCCTGGGGCCGGCCAGCGCGGGGCTCACCGCAGCTGGCACATCGCAGCACTTACTGATAGTCTTTCTTGTGCTTCTTTGGTCTTGGCTTCTCGTTGTCGTCTGGCTCTTCCTCGTCCTTGAACCAGTTGTCCAGGCAGTACTCGGCACACGCGGCACAGTAGTCCAGCTTCCACTGATCGAAGTGCCATCGCCATCCTTCAAAGGTCTTCTTGCAAGAGCAGCAGACATATTGGTGGTAGCTAGGCAAGCAGTACTTCCAGTCGATCGTGTGGCTGCGCTTCTTGAGACCTCTGCCCTCAGGGCCAGAATCATCTTCGCTTGCAGCGCGCAGTTGACTGGGCGCAGCACCTGCTGAGTCATCGCGCTGTCGGCGCTTCCTTGACTTCCCAACATCTGTTGTGTAGGTGCTGTCGAACTTGTTCCTGTGCCCACTCCTGCCTGTCGTAACCTTTCGAGCTCCCTGACTGCCGCTGCCCCGATCTTCTTCTTTTCTTTTCCCTTCTCTTTTCGGAGCTGCTTCTTGTCCTTCTTGTCCTTCTCGGATGTATTCTTCTCGTCGGCGATCCGCTTTCGGCAGTTTGCGCTGCGGTGGCCCTTCTTGTGACAGTAGTGGCACTCGATCTCGGCGTCGGGATTCGGTGGCCTCTCCTTGCCCTTGCCGTCTTTCCCTTTGCCGCGGCCTTTCCACGGTCTCTTTCCGCCCTTCAGCGCGCCTATCTCCATCGGGTCGTCCTGAACCGCTCGCTCTGCCATCAACGCCGACACCACCTCGGCTCTCAGGAGCTCGTACGTACTTAGCCGACTGCTGTTCCGAAACACGTGCTTCTGCAGCTCGTCGTGATCCTTCAGCGCCTTTGTAAGGATGCCTCGCTTGATCAGGTCCGAGACTGGTTCTCCTGCCATCTTCTGGTACCTTGTCATGTCCTCGTCCAGCTTGCTGATGCTCACCATCACGTCTTCTTTGGCGTCGAACTTCGTGTCCGTGAGCTTGGTCCACATCGCCAGCACGTTTCCTGCCTCGCTCGGGTTGTACTCCTTCTGAAGTTTCCTCCAACACTCGGCTCCTTCTCCTACTGGGCTGTTCCTCACGATCAGCTCGCCTACTGAGTCCTCGGGCATCGCCAGGACCAGGCCGTAGTACAACTGCGTGCTTAGCTCTTCCTCCTGCGCGTCCAGGTTGACGTTGTCCACCTCCTGGGCTCCGTCCTCGCACCTTTCCAGAAGATCTCGGTACCTTCGATCCTGGGCGATCAGGTACGCTCTGTACTGGAAACTGAACGTCTTCCAACTCGCCCTGTGGCCGTCGAACGGCTTCACCTTGTGAAGAATCTTCGGATCCATCATCTCGCCGCGCGGGGCTACCCGCTGCTGCTGAGCCTGTTGCTGAGCTTGAAGCTGACCTCGCATCTCTGCGATCGTCACGTCTCTGTTCTGAAGTTCCTGTCTCATGTTCTGACTCTCCGTCGTCAGCCTCTGAACTTGATCGACCAGTTGCTGCAGCTGCTGCTCCATCTTGATAGTCTAGCACGTCGCTGACACGCTTCCCTATCCTCTCGATGTCGCTTCTCAGCTGCCTCGTCACCGCTGCTCGCTCCTCCTGCGTGAGCTGCGCTCTGCTGCCGCACGCCTTGAGCTTCCTAAAGGCGGTCCCTCGGAGCTCGCGGTGCTGACGCGTGTCCGCCGACCTGCCTCCTCGCTTGTTCGGCTTCTTGGCCTTCTCCGTGGCTGCTTGGCCTCCACTGTCAGAGCGCGGGTCTGACCGCAGCTCTGACTAGCAAGGGGTCCTCTCGGCGCTCGCGTGGATCGGCCCGCCAGCTGCTGAGGGGCTCCTTGAGCTCGCCGGGGTGCGGAGCGGCCCGCGATCCTCAAGCGAGCTCCGCTACCATGCACGCGCACCCACCCCCCTCGCGGAGAAAGGGGGGAGGTGAGGGTCGCTCTTTTCCTCGAGCAACAAAGGGCTGCAGGATTTCCTGGATCCTCCAGGACAGTCTAGATTATATTTTATATAATCATATATCTATGTGAAACTACAAACTTCCTAGCAATAACCCTAGACATATACATATACGTATACACAAACACATACACATACACATAGATGTACATATACACAGCACATGCATACAAATACATATACATATACGTATACACCGGCACTACACATTCACATACACATGCATGTGCATGTGCATTTGCATCTATGTACGTATACCTATACATAGACACATACCCATACACATATATATATATATATATATATATATGTAGAGGGAGAGATAGAGAACAAAAAAACTCAATCCATAAATCACCATCCACAGCATCCTATTCATAGTCACCTATATCATCACCTCCATCATCATCACCATCATCCTCACCATCACCGTCATCATCATCATCATCATCATCATCATCATCATCATCATAATCATCATCATCATCGTCATCATCATCATCATTAGCATCAGCATCATACTCAGCAGCATCATCATCACCTCCATCATCATCATCATCATCATCATCATCATCATCATCATCATCATCATCATCATCATGACCTCCATCGTCATCAGCATCAGCATCAGCATCAGCAGCAGCATCAGCATCATTATCAGCAGAATCAGCATCAGCATCACCATCATCTCCTGCTCTTTCTCCACCGCGGCCTCCGCCTCCTCCTACCGCTTTTTGCTGGCCGCGACCAAAACGCGGCGGCCATGGGAAGAGGCAGGCACAGAACGCAGGAGGCGTCTTTCCTCTGCCACTCTGCGTGCTGCGACGAGGAGACCGTGCTCGCCGTCCGAGGCGACGGGTCTACCGGAAGCGTTCGAGCGTTGCATTCCCGCCTCAGCATGCCCACGCGCAGTGGATGCCAACCACGCCAGATCATTTGAACAAGCAATAGATGGACCATTCGGCACCCACTAAAGCCCCTCTGTAGCGGACCCCTTGTTTCACCCTCCAACGAGAGCCCGTGCTGGACGTCTGAGGCGGCCAGTCTACCAGAAGTGCACCTCCTTCACGTTGGGTATGTCTGTGTTCTCGTAGAGCACGCGGGTGCCTTCTGCAATTCTGTCGTGGGAGACAAACTTGTTCGTGCTTTCGCTTAGGGGGTCCTCAAAATTCAGGTGATGATCCTGAAGGATTAGAGCATACCCGCTGTCTTTCGTTAGAGCTCCAACCAGTCGAGAAAAGCCGCCCCCACAGACCATGGCAATGTCGGCACTGGCAAAGCAATCAAGATCATTGCGAAGCCTCGATATGCTGCTCTTTCCAAGCACTGCTGGCGCAAGCTGGAAGGTGACGGTTGCACCAGTGTAGTTCTTGAAAACCTCAAACTCGGGGTCATCTGGCTCGGTCTCAGAAATAACTACCAGGTGAGCGTCGGACTGCTTCGTTTGAAACTCATCGGGGATCGGCAACTCGCCACTGAACAACTGGTCAAGCACACTAACAAAACGCGAAATCAGACACCGAGCATGGTCGCCACGGCGCACGTGGACAGCAATCTTACGCTGCTGGGCAGCCCTCGCAGGGGCTTCCTGCCAACACGGAGGAACTGCCCTCGCTGGGTCCATGTCGCGCACGAGGTGGAACTGGTGCCTAACCCATCTGTACCCTAAGCCCCACCTCTCATCATAGTTGTCGCTTCGGAAATTCTGAACATGAGAAAAGCCAACAACATCCGCCACCACGCCGCTGACACGCGTGGGCGCGTCAGACAACCTCCTGACTGACTGGCATGACTTCTGCGTGCTCCTACGGGGGACCCTGCCCCCGACCAGCGATTCTCCCCCAGACCCACCCGCCCCCCCTGACATTTGCCTCGTCGCGGCCTCGGAGACGGACCCAGGATGGCAAGAGGCTGCTCCAGGAATGCCCCGAGACTGGCCTGGAAGCGGCCCACGTGGAGGGCCCCCCCCCGAAGGCCCCCGAAGGCCCCCGGACCAGCCCGCCGAGAAGTAACGACAAGGACAGCCCGAGGACCACCCAGGACAGCCCAAGACGACCCAAGAATGGTCCAAATGGCCACGGCATCACTACACCGAACCTGGCCGGGAGAGCTCGGTAGAACCACCGCGCCCACAACGGCACGCCGCCGTAGAGCCCTGCCTCTGCCGCCTCGGGGTCGTAAGGGTGTCTTGAATCAATTGTCCTACAGAGCCCCTTCGGGCGGGTTCGGTAAGAGCACAGCGCCCAGAACAAGGCTCGAGCTAAACGATGCACATCGTTTTCGTTTTGTTGTCGTTTCCCTTCGCTCCGTCTTCGTCCTGCCTTTGCTGCGAAACGAGACCAAAACGAAAACGGCCCACGAGATCGCCAGAGCACCGTTCAGTTCGAGCCCTGGCCCGGAGCAGCGCGACCAGGGCACGGGGGCCCGCGAAGCCCTCGAAGCTCCTTCAGCATAGCCATGGTGGCGCTGCGGCAGCACCGAGGTGAAATTACCAAACGGGGTCGAAGCGCCCGGGGTCGGAGAATCGCGCCGCATCGTCGATGCGGCGACGGTGTCGGCGATGCGTCGGCGCCGCCGGCGTGGAGAGAATCAGGCTCAACATCGAGCCGCCTCGCCGATGCATCGGCGGCGCGGGCGCGATCCTTCGACACCGTCCACGCTGACCCGATCTGGGAGGCCTAGGCAAGAAGGACCTCGAAGCTGCATCGACGCAGCGCTGGCAGAAAGTGGGGACTGCCGCAGGCAGCTGGATATATACCATTCTTATCATCAAGGGCAGCTTCAGTGCTCACGCCCCTCGAGTCAAATGTCGATCTGTTGACGTGGACGATAGCCGCCGTCAACTCGTTGCGCGACCTGTTGACGGCTTCAAAAGCGACTGCTCTCCCGATAGCGTAGGAAGAATTGTGACACCCAAACCAATCTCCCACGCAAACGCCCTCATGCCCTGCGCAAAAATGGGCCGGGTCACAAACATACGTTAAACCGTTGCGCTCGGCTAAATCGAAGACCAAATGCGTGTAATCCAGCGTGTTGCCCAGGCCAGAACTTCTACAATAACGGCCCGCCGATTTCACCGGCGCTGTAAGCCACCAAGGCTTGTCCTCGTCTTGCACTACGTAAATGTAAGGTGGAGGCAACAATCGATCAAGCTGATTCGCATGACCCTGAGAAAAATGCAGGGCGTTGATGAAAGTCGGCGTAAAAGAAACTAACCACTGCACGTATACATACCCCATTCAAACAGGCATCTAAAACTGAATAATTGGTGGTTACAGGATACTGAATACGAAAACCTGGACTCGAAACGTCGAATCCTTGAGCCGCAGTAACAGTTATGGACGATGATACAGGCTGGCGGTGAGCATTAATCACAATTCGTCGAGAACCAATGACAGACCTTTGAACATCTTACATGCGACCGCACAACTCACCTAAGCATGGAATTGCTGATGTTCATACGTTTATGACGAAATCGTGGGACAACTGCTTGAACAAAATCCTTTGCGAACTCACACCATCCAAACCCCTGGCGTGTTATGAAACTACGCTCCCAATCGCCCCTCCTGAGAACGTTTCAGACACGAAACTAACGAATACGTTGACGTAAGATCATCCGGAAAATTCACATTGCGGGTCCTTGCAGAAACGTTCCGATTGGCTCAAGGACTTGTATGGGGTTCATACGAGCATATCTCCATATCCCCATATCTGAATTGTCAGTCTTATACGCTCTCCTATCTTCCCTGCGTTCGACACCACATCGATGTCTTCTTCGGGTGACTCTCGTATGCCAGGTACCCTGGTCGGGCACTTACTCAAGGACTCTCCTTCGACACCGCCTACAGGGAGAGCAACGCAGCACAGGATCCACAGCCCGCTTCACGAGATGGATGGCGACGACACTCTTGGGACACTCTTGGCAACAATCGGTCAGAACAATTGGAACTTTTTACAGCCCCTCCACCTTCGTCTTTTGGTCATGATAATCGCCATGCCTATGCCCAAGCACTTACTACAGACATGTTCCGGAAAATTTTGAATGAGCAATTGGACCCGATCCGGAAAGATATAACCGTTATTAAACAACTTGGTGTCTCACAGCATGACCTCCAGACGGCCAT